TCGATACGACTTCGTGAATGGGCTGATCACCAGTTGTGGCACCGCTTCTGCGGATTATCCAATCGACGCCATTATATCTGTCAGATGTGTCGCATATATTCCATAACGTATTGTCCGCTTGAAGAGCCGCCTCCGGATCGTCCAATAGGTCGCGAGCGTCGAAACCGCCGGTCAGCACATCCACAGCTCTGTTCCCTCGAAGACACACTCGAGTTGTGTCACAATTGGAGTCTTTAATGAAGAATACAATGGCGTAAAAGTGTTGTAATTTATACGAATTATTGTTATGATTAATGGCTATATTCTCGGACTGTTGTCCGCAATCGGGACACTCATCGAGCGGACACTCATCGGCGCCGATCTGGTGCTCGAGATTCTTAACGGTCGCGGAGTAGAGACAGACCGGACAGCGAACGATCACAAACTGCTTCACAGGAAACACACTGTGCGGCAACAGATCCACTATTTTGGCTCTTATAAGAAACAATGACTGCTGCGCGCCATCGGAGGTCACACTCGTGTCCAGTGATTCTAGATCTTCAATGAGTCGGCACTGACCTACAGATCCGACAAATCGTTTGGCCGGGAATCGCGACAATTGGCGACTCTTTGCCAATACTTTTTCGATGTCTTTTAAATTATATTTATAAGAATTGCGATAAACGGGCGGAAAGTCTTTTTCGCGGATCTGTTGATTGTAGAGGTTCTGGAGTCGACGACAGCCCAGCGCTAACAGTTCAGTGGCTAATGGCTCGTCAACAACGGTCACAATGTCTTCGACGATCGGCGTCTCGTCCAGAAGTGGTGGCAGAGATAAGGTTTCATTCATATCGTCGACAAATGTGTTATTGTGAACGCTGTGGTGATCATCGACAGTGTCATCGATAGCGTCATCGCCGGCAACACTATCGCCACCGACCGCGCGATCAACTTTACGCTCCCGATCGCCGATTCGGGCCAACAAGAGTCGGCCCAAAATGCTGTTGCGGTGAACTTTGCGAACACCTTTGCCGTAATGACGACCGGATCGCAAGTGTAGAGTAACGCTGGATCTGTCCTCCGGAGAGCGAGTAATCTCTACGTTAAAGAGAATCAGTAAATCGTCGCCATTCATAAGAGTGGTTCCTTCGGCGACATCGAAGTGGTCGTTGTGTTGGTTCGACCTATTCTTCCAGACGTTCACAAACACCAGTTTCTTTGGATCCATTCGATAAGGCATCAGAAACGACATATTATTCAACCGATGGTAGCGATTGGCGGGCAACTCTGCGCCGATCACCTCGTAATTGATTTGCCTGTGATTGTGGACACTATCTGTCGGCTGAGAGCCATCATAACACGTCAGAAGAATGCTTTGACTATACAATTGCGATGCCATCACAAGACACGCAAAGTCCACGTATTTATCGGCAATATTATGGGTAACAGCGGCCGCAGTGGACGCGTTATCAGTCTCTTCGGCCGACATTTGCTGTGCCGGAGCCCTGAAGAGTGTGTCAAAGCTGTTGTGACGGAGGAATGTGTGAGCAAACCACTGCTCCAGCAGTAGACACACGGGTCGGTCGTAATCCATGGGCTGAATAGTGGCGTTGGCCGTGAAGATGTCGTATCGGTTGGGATCCGTTGACTCGTAATCATAAGTAAAGGCGTGGAATTGAGCGAAATTTTTGCGCTCATTCACCGCAAACATCTGCAACACAACACATGGATCAGCTAATGGTGACAATCAATAACAAACTTCATGTCACATACCTTTTGAGTAATGGACGTAACGATGACAACGCCGGTGAGTCTTATGATGTTTTTGGTGACAATATTAGTGTTAATATTATTGATGATGAAAGTGATGGGCGTCTGAACGGTGGGATCCACCACTTGGACCTTCTTCTGCATATCGTTGTACGTATTGACCGCATCGACGACACCGTAAACGTTGACCACTCGACCGATCAGCTGATCGTCGGTGGAGTGACCGCTGGTCAGCGCCGAAGACACGTGTCTTAAAGTGGCGAATCGTCCCAAAGTGGCCGCCCGTAGCCTTTGCTCGTAGTCTTTGGCCACCATCTCATCCACTGACCAGTGTTTGGCCATCGGCTTTGACCGCAACGAGTGATCACTTCTTGTGCCGCAAAAAATGTGATCAAATGTTTGTATTGTTTATGTTTTTTGTTGTCAAATGTTTTCAAACACTGTTTTGAATGCAATGTTTTGATTGGCTATACGTTTGTTGTGTTCATATATTCATATCAATTACGGCTTTTAAAACTGAAGTTTAACTTTTGATAAGATTTTTGAATTATTTAAATAATTGATAATGGTTGAATTTATTGATTATGCACGTTTTAATAATATACAAATTAACATGAGATAATAGTATTGTTTATATTTATTATGCATTTAATTTTACAAATAAATACAAATTAAAACAATATTACAATATTAAACAATATTAGTTAATGACTTGCTTTGAATTTTGTTGCATAAATACAATCATAATGTTTAAATAATTTAAATTTGTAATTTACCATTATGTTATCAAGTTTATAAATGAATGCTTAATAATTTAATTAATGTACAATTAATTTTATAAATTTGGCGTAAAATGTATTAAAATATGTAATTTATCAAAGTGTATGCAGTTTATGAAATTAATACCATCATGTACATTTTTATCATATCAATAAAATCATGCCATAAAACAAACTAAACTAATGTTTATATAATTTAAATGATTGTATATTTATATGAAGCAATTGAAGGGCACATTGAATGATAAGTTAAGCGACCGATTGGTTAAATAGTGATCACAACCAAAACCAAACATCCATTTAATCCAATCTTTTATATTTTGTATTTAAAAATAATTGCAAAAATGTCTTAACACTGAAGAGTCGACCGCTGGAAGTGGTAAGCGATTGTTGTGCGACAATGCCATCCATACAATCGGCACATTTTGTGATCACCAATTCGTGACAATTTTTATGGACATATGTCGAGCACACTGTGCGGTCGGAGCAGACAATTATAAGCCAAAAATAATACAACTAATGTAGTCAATACAAACCCTGGCACTGGTAGCACATTCTGTCCGCTCCGGCGGGCAGTGCCGCGATATACTCGCAACAATGGCAGCAACGGGTCGGTTGACACACACGGGTTGGCGTGAATTTGTGGCCATTCACGCGATACACGCGACGCCTTACGGCACCCTTTCTCTGGTACGAGTTGTGCCGCTCTGTAAACTGTTTGTCCTCCGACTGCGAGGCCATCCATACGGTGTCCGACCAACTCATCTAGAAATACATTCAATGCGTTTATGTCTCGTGTTTTGATGTGAGTCTACACTCTGAGAGTCGTAACAAATCCTATGACATTCTCATGCCTTTCCCATAGGAATGACGAGTGAACTCATGGGTTGGGCCAACAGATTCTGTGCGCAAACTTTGTGCCTATTTTTACACCAAAATTATTTTATGTATGTTATATATTATAAAACATATTCTGTNGAGTCGTAACAAATCCTATGACATTCTCATGCCTTTCCCATAGGAATGACGAGTGAACTCATGGGTTGGGCCAACAGATTCTGTGCGCAAACTTTGTGCCTATTTTTACACCAAAATTATTTTATGTATGTTATATATTATAAAACATATTCTGTATTCTGTGCAGAATATTACACATGTATATTTAGTGTCTGCAATAAAGGGTTATAATTATTAGTAATAAAGATTTTATTCTAATTATAAATAATTTTAGACAAAACGTCTTGAATTTTGTGTCATTAAATATTTTATTCGTTATATTTATTGCAATTAAATTTGAATTTAATTAATATATTTTTAATTTAGTTTAAATTTTAAAGTTAATGTTAGGCATTAATGATTACATTTAATAATTTAATCATTTCAATGCAAAGCATAATTAATAGTATTTGAATTAACAGTTAAACATTTATATAAATAAATCATATCTGAATTAATAATAACAAAAATTACAGTAAACTTAACTTAAATTAATTTCGTTTTCAAACAATATTCATTTAAAACTAATATAGCATATGAATAGTCAATACAAT